ATAGATAGATACTTTATTCATCCCGAGGGAAATTGTATTTAATGTAAGCTTTCAAACTTCACGATACTAACTTGTGTATTATGACACACGCCCAAACAAACAAGGCTAACTAAGCTTTAGATGTTAGGATTTTGTTACAGAACCAGGCTTGCTATGTCACCCCTTCATCCATGATATTTATGTATTATGACAAATGGTATTCATTTGTTGGTTAACAATTAATTACGTAACGGTACAAATGACAAAATTAATGAGTAAGACCTCTATAAGTTATTTACAAATATAGAGTATAACATATATACATTTGCATATCCTCCTCTGTAACACCTAAATCATCACTTGTTCGCTAAACTGCTAAACCGTTGCTACCGTTACCCTGTCAAGCTTTTCGTTCTCAGACTTGGAGGGTGTAAATACTTATGTAAACAGGTGATTTCTGTTAATATTTGTAATTAATTTAGATCAATTTGCTACATTAAATTTACTTAATCAATTGTTGTACAAGTAACAGCCGAATAAATGAGTCCATGTTTTGAAAAAGTTCCCTCAGTATGTCCCTCTGTGCCTGCTATTGTGTCATTGATTAAGTAGGTCAATTACCACCCTCCATGTATCATATGATCTTCTGCTGTCATGTCTCATTTTGGAACCAGCTTCTTCAAATCTCTATTTCCATCTTCAGGGGAATACTTCCTCAGAAGTTCCTCTTAAGTATTTGTGATTACACTGAGACCGGAAATACATTTTATTTTGATGCAACTCTCCAGAGTCTGTGGCTTACTGCTATGATAAGCTAAGCTAAAGTACAGCGGATAAGTGCTACATGTTTCCCTGAGGGCATCTGTTGGCTCCTATTAAACACTTAACCAGCGGTGTTGTATCGATCGTGGTTATCTTGCCTCCACTTGGGCCAATATTGTCTGAAACATCCACGCTGTATTTTAGATTTAAACGATTTAGGTGATACTTCCATCGATCGAAGCTTGCAACAAGTTCAACTGCAGCATAAACACTTTAAGTAACCACTACAAAATCTATAATCCCAAACAATCTACATGGGCAGAGGAAGAGCGCCAGAGCAGTGGGTGTAAATCCAAGAGTAATCAAACATGAATAAGTAAAGAAACAGTTAAGTAGCTCTTCTGTGGCAAATATTTGGGGATACAATGGAAGAAGTAAACAGATATGCTAAAAGAAAAGGTAATAATAGACCTTATTTATATTCCACAGCCACACTGAATAGGCAGTATGTTTTGATGTGGCTCTGAGAGTCTGGTTTATATTCATTTCTGTATTTACATGTAGATTGCAGTGCATGCATAAATGTAATTATCATTTCAAAGCCACAATTTTCACATTTAAAAAAGACCTGAATAATCTGTAAACACTCCATTAATCATATCCTGATCACTTTAGCTTTTGTCTCTGTTCTGTTTTTTTAATAGCAGTCTACATCTGGCTGGTCTCGGTGCATTGATTTGGGCCTATTCATTTTCGTGACATGAGTTGCGCAGCTTATACACCTGTTCCAATATGTCTTAATTTGTCTCCTGGGTCCGTCTTCCCCTCCTTCCGATGTACAGTCTTTTAGAAATGCTTTGCTGACTGCCAGCTTTAGTGTTTGCTCCTGTTATCCCAGAGCATTAACTTTCACAGTTTAAATAGCTTTAGCAGCAGCCGGGTGTCGCACTGTCTGTCACAGTGAGAGGAGAGACGGTGTCTGGATTTAGAGCTCTTTACCTTTTTTTCTTGGCTGAAAATCTTCTTTATTCCTGTCAACATGGAACTTATCCAGACAGAGCCTCTTTGTAGTGAGGATGACACTGATTTATAGGATTGTACATCTAAGGATTGACTGATTATGTGGCCTGTTTTATGCATTATTGATTACATTGATCAAGGTTAATTTGCATTGCAGTTGCGGTTTGTTCATCACAGTGACAGCATTAGCCTTGTCTTGCAAGAAAGCACAAATTGATCTACTGTCAGCTTAATATTTCCGTTAACCTTATTGATGATCTTTAGAAAATCACTGTGTTCTGCTCTGCTTGATAGACTTTGCCTCGTTCCCAAATAGCTTTGAATGTGTTGGACCTACATAGATCTTTTGCACTAATAATATTATGTTATCTGCTGATTTATTTTATAAAGAAAAAACCTCTATGGTATTTAATTGCACAGCATTTGTGTGTTATTTTCAGATTGGACGACCACCCATGCACCAGACACATCCTGCGCTCCTCCAAGCCTGAAATTAAAATGTTGTTTTTTGATGTCAGAAATAGGGAGAAAAAAAACAATCTGTGTTTTCTGCAAAACTGTCAACTATAATGAACCATTGTCGCTTGTTTTGATAATCTCACTATTATGAATACACACCATAAAGTGGCAGAACAGTACTTTGTGATTCATCGTGCATGTGGCTCTGAATGGTTCAGAATCACCTCGAGAAATCAATCAAATGTTACATTTGCTAAACAAGCATTTCTTTGTCGTCAAAAAAAACCCCTCTGACTTCTATTTTTAATGCACTAAATCCCTGTGTGCCTGTGTGTCTGGTTGCTAGCGGGAATGTCCCTGACAGCGGAGAAGGAAGTCACGTGTTTAACAGTGGCCGTTGCCATGGAAACCAATGAGGGATGCAGAGCATAAAACATTTAACAAGTTTCCCGTCACTTGTTATGTCACCAGCCTCCCCTCATTTCTTACATAATAGGTGTTGTTAGCATCTAACTGGGAAAAATAAATCCTACCAGAAATCCTTGACAAAACCTTAGAATACAATAACAAAACCTTATTTTGTCATATTAACCATGTCACCTTCAATATTGTCATTAGAAAAAAGGGGTTGTTGACGAAGAGTAACGAGACAGTTGACGTCTTGTGTAATTCACACACGTCTGTGATGATCTGTGAATCTGTAGGTGGTAAGGTTTCCTGTGCGCTGTTTGAGATTCCCGAAATAACTCCTGAGCAATATACTGTGTTGTCTATGCTAATTCGCCACCTCCCACGGGCTTTTTCCTGTACAGAGCTGTCATTTAACGGGTCACAGGCAAAGAAGGGGAAGTCAGGAAAACACCCGCTTCTCATTTAGAATAAGAATTCAATTTAAAACCTCGTCTGACATCACATTATTATCTTTGTAATTATCAGTCACTGAATTTTACACCGAACATGGCACTGTAATTACATTTCTTTAGTCAAATGTTAAAGCTGATGCTTGGTGATGTTTAAATACATGAAATTAAAAAAAGTGAGTGTTTCTCTCTTTCTTTCCCCCTCTCTTTGTCAAAATGTTGCATCACATCGGTGATTGTGAGTTATTATTGACCATGAATCCTTGGATATGTACTCATCTATATTTATATCCTCAGTGTAAAAATGGCATTGGAGGAGAAGACATAAAATTGTAGCATGTAATGGACATCAATGTTTGTGTATTCTACAGTATCCGACATGTCATTGAGCATCAATCGTACCATTGATGTTTGCTGTCATTGTCCGACATTTTGGGACTAATTAATGGGATGCTGCGGTGCGTGACGGCATGTTGATATACATCATTAGATCCCATCTAATCACAGTGGCATCCTCGCACATACTCTCACACGGTAGCATGCACGATCGCACACACACACTGATGAGATGGCTCAGATCGAATCTGCAGGATTCATCTCCAGAGATCATCTGGAGAGGTGGACTTTCATTTAGTGAGTTTAGCCAACAAGATGCATGGATTTATCTCTCCAGCTGAGAGAAGGTGACAGCGCGGGTCATTTATATTCCACACGTTATATCTGCACACTGCTTTCTGACCCCCTGAGCCTCAGCATCCTTCTGAGGTCTAGACGAGCCATTGAATTATAGGGCTGATAGGGACTCTGTGGCGTGGGTTGCCTAGCAACCTGTATTGAGTGAGGCGGGAGGCCTGCTGATAGGGAGATTACCAGGGTCCCTGATAAAGTCCTTCCTGCCATGAACGGTTGCTTATCATGATGCTGTCAGAGGAAAAATGTCAGCTATTAGCTCCCCCAAAACAGGCAGTTAGAGGTACAGAGACGCTGTAGGTGCCACAGACCATTACAACATTTCAACTGGGCAGGTATACGTAGTTCTACCTCGTCACACAGCAATCAATGTCCAGGAAAAACATCTACTAAACCCTTCTCCTGTGTGCTTCTGACTTTCAGCTATCAAAAAATATCCCTCATAAACCTGTTTTCCTCTTTTCTTTTTCTGTAGACAGAGTGTTTGGAAGGTGCCAGGAGTTGGCCGGTGCAAACCTGTACACATACGATATTTCTTCCTCTGCTTTGCAGCGCCTCAGGATCCTCCTACAGAAGCTGGCTCACAGAGGTACACACTGCCCGTTTGCCTGTATGTCTTTGTCCGAGTGTCTTCTTCTTTCTTTTTTCCTGTTCAGCAGCCTTTATCAGTCATGTACAGAGCTTACAGCAAATGCTTGTCAACTGCCATTGTGTGAAACAAGCCAAATAAGCCAAGCTGTCTCTTTGGCTAGCATAGCACAACACCATTGAACAGGTCATTTGACTCATATCGGGCCATTGTTTTGCCATCATTGCCTAACTACGGCAGCCAATCTAATTGGCTTGTATAGTGGTAGGACATTTAGAGCTAATTTTGTGGATGAGTAACTGTGAGGTGTGCAGTGTAATCACATTAGGCAGTCTCTCCTACTCCGTCAATGGCAGCAGCTAATGTGTTTGTTATAAGTGGTTACACCTTCAGGGGCATATAGCACATTTACAATAAGATGTCTTCATAACAGAAGTAACTATATTGCTAATTTTGAATAAAGTTACAGTAGAAATTTTAGAATTTGTGGATCATGTTTCCCCACATTCAGCCATGCCGGAGTCATGCTGGAGTCATGCTGAGAATTTAAAAGTCTCATCAGCACATCTCCTCAGTTCTGTCACGTTATTACGCCCAAATTTGTATTCATGTCTTGTCCTGGCTTTAGTAGACAGAGTTTCTTCTTGCTGATGGTTGGTACAGTGTGAACAACAGCTAGAAATGTTTGGAGCCTGCAGGCAGTCTGCTGTTATGGATCCATTGCTGTCACTGCTAAACAAACGCTTCTGGCTTGTCCGTTTCAACAAGTAACTTAGGCCCTCTTGGAAAGGTTTTTTTGTCTGTCAAATGCCAACAATCCATTAATGTCATGTTGGAAAATATATATACTTTATTTCATATGTCTGTAATTGCTTCAGTAAGTAATATGTATAAATAAGGTAAATTGCTGTGTAACCCAAAGAGTATGTGCACAGCAGGTCAGCTGAACATGCTTATATGTTGAATTACAAGTGGTGTAAGTCTCTAAAAAAGCCAAACTAAACGAACAGTCTAAAACCTCTGTCTGTATTTGCTTTATATTTAGTACTAATTAGATGGTTCTTTTTCGGGAAACGTCTCCAAAAAATATTATTACATTTGTAGGAAATTACAGGCCCATAAAATGAAATGTTACCAAGCAAAATGTGTTTTATTTTTACTACCTACTTATTTTTCTCCACACGTCTGCCAGCCTGTAACTGCAGTCATAACCCACCAGGGGGCAGTAGACACCTTTAACACAGACCTGACCACAAACATCAGCCCTCCAAACATAATTGGCTTTGCAGGCCACTCTGAGCTTAATATCTTTTAACAGGCGTGAACCAGTGTTGAAAATCATTAAGAGTAAGCAGTCGGCCAGAGGAAATCAAAAAAAAAAAATAGAAAGAAAAAAATGCAGTGATGAATATTAAGCCAGGCGAGACCACACATTTATTCTAATTACTGCTTAGAAATAAACAAATGAGAGTGAGGAGGATGAGAAGAGATCTGGTGTGTAATTTTTTCCTGCTTCATTTTAAGAGGTGTTTAGTTCTTTAGATGCTTTTCATCATGAGTCCCGTTCTCTGACCTTGTGTTTTTTAGACACCCGTTTACACACGGCGCAGACATGACATCACCACTTTGAATCATTTTCCCCCTTTCTGTCTTGTAGAATCACATCCACAGACACACAGCATTATCTTCGGATGAGTCCACAATGCAGTGTTAATGCTCGGTGGCACGTTATCCTTATCAGCTCAACAGCTATTGAAGTGTCATCTTCGAGACGTGCAGGACCTTTTTTTTTTTTCTTTTCTTGAGCCCATTGTACTGTAACCTAAATTGAAGAGATGACAGGGGGAGGGAAAAACGGGGAGAAACATCAATGGAATCGATTTACAATCCTCTTTATCTTGCATCAGAGACGCAGGTAGACATCACACAATCTCTGCTCACTGCACAACACCAATGTCATTCAGATCAATAGGGATTGACCCTTGTACAAAAGGGCTTTGGTTGTCTGGATGTGTCCCCATTGGCAGGGCACATTGTCTAGTATTACATTTTCACCACAATACCCTTTGAATGCAAGGCCCTGTCATCCAACTGCAAATGACTTTTATATTACACAGTAGCCTACCCAAAGCTAAGCAACTTTAGTATTCACCAAGTGCAGCCACAGTGTGTCTACACATTTCACAGCCAGGCTGCTGTCATATAGCTTTGGAGTCTTTATGGCGCTGCTAGATGTGTGTGTGTGTGTG